ATTATAAATATTTATATTTTTATTATAATATTTTAGATTGGCATTAAATTTTTCTTTGGACTAATCCTTCCTAACCTTTTCAAACATTTTTGTCATATTCACAAAGTGTATTATATTGTAATAATAATATATAATATATTTATATTATAATAAATATTTTATAATTTTTAAATAGATATATTTTTTATAATTTCTTTCAAACATTATTTATATAATCTATCGCGTTTATTTACTAATTATATCTGAAAAAGTTTTACATAATATTATATGTATTCAAACAATTCTTCTTTCCATGAAGAATATTCAAATAATTTTCTCAATCACTATTTAAAGTATATTTCCGTTTGCATTTTATTTAATACTCTTATAAGATTTTATAATTATTTCTGTTTAACATCTCATTTTTTCTAAAGTATCGGATGCAAGAAAAACACAGATATATCTTTTCAAAAACGATTCGATTGTACTTGAGTGAAAATGCGCAAAAGTTTAACATTATATTGTAAATTTTTAATTCAGAAGATTCAGAAATCAAATCGATGCAAATAAAATTTTCTAAGAATAAAAATGAATTTTTTTCTTAGAGAACCACGTAAATCATCATTTCAAGAAAAAAAATTTTTAATTCAGAAGATTCAGAAATCAAATTGATGCAAATAAAGTTTTCTAAGAATAAAAATGAATTTTTTTCTTAGAGAATCACGTAAATCATCATTTCAAGAAAAAAAATTTTCAATCGATTAAATCATACTATATCTTTATTATTATTTTTATTTTACAATTATATATGTCTATCAAAATTTTAATTACAATCAGCGTAAGTAAATAAATTAAGTCATCTTTTTCTTATCTATAATATTTAAAATATAATACATACTTTTATATTTATTTTAGCATTGATCTTAATTTTTAGAAACTTGAATTATTTCGCTTCCAATTCTTGTTGACTGCTCTTGCACGACATTTATGTTTTCACGACAAATTTTTAAAAATTTCATCTCGTTTCTAACATTTGATTAGCTTTTTAATCTTTTTAAACGCAACACCATCGCTATTGTCTCGCAACACAAAGGCGTTGGTCGCTTTCTTTGCTTAAAAAGATAAAGACACGAGGATGCACCTGACTGGACAGCAAATAGTGCTTAATGAGCGTGGAATTGCCAGGAGAGCAGTGATTTCAATTGCATTACGCGAACGCGACTCGATAAACTTATAGATCTCATTTTACATTGCAAATATATAATCGATTCGCGCGAAATGTCTTCTCCATTTATCGAGATCTTGATTGATTTAGTGGGTGGAAAATGCGTTTCTTGAAAATAATGTGATAAAAATGTGAAACCAAAGACGGATAATGAATAATTCTGTAAAAAAATGTTATAATCGAGCATATACTCATTATTTATTGAGCAAGGTCGTTCTTTTTTTTGTTCTTTTTCTTTTGTTCCTGGTCAAACTTTGTATTTCTCTTGCTGAATATGGCAACATTAATCTTTGCTGTCTTCCACAATTAAAATATTTATTCAACATACATTTAGTTTTCAGTGTAGAAAACTTTATTTGATTTTATATGACATTTATTATGTGACAGAATCAGAATTAATTTATTTTAAATAACAAAGTCATTTCAATGAAAATAAAAAAAAATTTAGTTTCTCACAAATATTTTAAAATGTTAATATAACATTTTAATCTGTATCTTTTTTACTCAAGATATAATATAAAATTTGTTATATTTCTGTTAATAGATTTTCAAATTGAGATTATTTGAAATATTTATATTCAATATCTGAAATCCTAATTATCAGAAATTTTGAGTAATTTTGACATAAAGGCAAGTAATGTAATGAATATAAAAGCATTATTTTTTTAAAAGTAGCTAGAAAAAGACAAAAAAAAAGTGAGAATTCAAATTTTTATAAAATGTTATACGTATTCTTATAACTTCTTAGTAACTTTGAAATATATATAGTAAAAGTTGAACAATTGATTTAACTTGTCCATTAATTATTTTTAGTAGGATTTATAATGTTTTGAATCTCTTTGAATCTGATTCAAAACATAATAATTGTTTAAAATCTTGAAAATCTCGATTTTGATGATAAAAATCTTCACTATTGATTAATGATAAATTAACACTTAATACATGTACTGAATTTTCTTTTTAATTTAATTTTCTTTCGAAATTTCGAATACTTATCTATCAAAGATCTATCAAAATAGATCTATCAAATATTCTGAAAATATCTGATCAATTCTTACATTTGATCAATTTTAAGATTTTTCTGTATTATGATTTGCATACTGCAAAAGATTCACTATTAAAAGAAAACATTATTACAATGAAAACAATGCAAACAATGTAATTCGATTCAAGATCAAGATATAAAAGCAAACAATATTATTTGTATTATACTTTCAAGATTATAATTAGATTATAATTATTAATAATTTTTTTGTCAAAATTATTGTTTTTCATCTTATTTTTAATTAAAAAAAATCCATAAATACAAAAAATATTTTATTAAAGAACAAAAGTAAAAAAACAAAATATTAACTGTTGCGTTAGAATTGTCTCATCGACCTTGATTCTCGACCTCTTTCTCTTTCATTTAATTTTTATTCGCTCTCCTTTATACATTTTTTTTTCTCGGCAAAAAAAAAACGTAAACATAGTTCAAATCAAGTCATATCAGTAAATAAAGATCGATATATACTTCATTGGATAATTAAAATATTTACTACACATGTATTATTCTGTAATCATATGTGCATTAAAATTAGTTATTTTTGCGATGTTACGATTTTAAATTCAACTGATTTTATGTTTCTTTGTACATTGGTATGCATATATATGCACATATACATTGTTACATCGGTACATATATATATATATATATATATGCATATCAATGCATATATGCATAAATGCATATTAGTTAAAAGACAAGATGCTTTAAACAAAAAAAAAATGTGGAAAAATAAACAAAGAGTAATGTTAATGAAATGTCGATGAAGAATAAATGATAAGAATCAGTCTATAAGTTTCTTCGAACGTTTTTTTTTTTTTGTTCCTCTCTTCTTGAACTTTAAACTCAATTTTAGATTTTCGCTTGACATATTTTTTTTCACGATTATCATCTTGTTATCATACTACCATTAAAAAAAAATTGTTTCTTGTTAACTATAGCACTTTGTGTATTAATGCAATAACAAAACAATAAAGTAATAATGCATATATATTTATATCGTTTTACTCGATGATTCATATTATTATCGTACCAGAGAAAATTCATATATATTTTAAATGTAAATAAAAGTAAAATAAAATAATGGAATAATATATTATTAAGTATATTATAATAATATAATACAATAAATATACTGTTACGATAGTAATATTTGTTTTAATATTATTTCTAATTTATATTCATTTTTTCTCTTTCATTCCAGATTTAATCTTAGTTACGAACATTAAAGAAAACGTTAATGTAATAATATAATATAACGTAATACGTATACGATAATGTTATAATATATAAAGTATGTTATAATTATGAAATATTTAAAAATATAAAAATATGTAAAATGTGTATAATGTAGAGAGATATATAAAACAATATATATTCATTGTGTCATTTAATAGATGATAATTAATAGATGAAATCTGTGATTTATATCTTTTTCTATTTTATTATTTACAAAAATATAATTTTAAATTTATAAAACATCTGAAATTAAATAATAAAATAATTAAGATTTTTATTTATCAATATAAATGTTCATTTCAAAATTCAATTTCATTATAAAATAGTTTTATCATTTTAATACAAAGTTAAAGATAAAAAATGATATATAAAAATAAAAAAATTTAATAAAAAACTTAATAGAAAAATTTGTACTTTTGTACTTTTAATATGAGATGGTCAATATAGTTTTCGCATATATTGTATATTTAAAATTTTTATTTGTATATGATTATACAAAATTGAATTCAACATTATTCATTGTTAATTAAGCTAAACGAATACGTAATGCATATTTATAATTGGAAATCATGTATGATAATATGATACAAATGCGTATAATCTACATTGTACTTACCATTTAGTTTCATTCATGAATTATTTTTATAATATTTACTTCAACTAAGAACAATAGAATATGCCCATGTATAATTTTAAATATAATATATATGAATATCTAATTTTAAATCTTGATAATTATTAATATAATTTATATCTATTATCTCTACAGATTCTTATAAATGATTTTTTGTTTTCCCGATTATTAACAAATACCTAAGCTGTTTTAAATATATCTAAGCCGCGCCTATATGCATAATTTTATTTATTTGCATAATATACAATGTGCATAATATTTAAAGGATTGATTTTAGAGATTAAAAGAAATACAAAAATTAATGTACAAAAATCTATTGAGATTTATTTATTAAATTATAAGCAATTTAAATTCGCATTAGATAAATAGCAAAAAATAGCAAAATAGAAACAAAATAAGTGAATGTGATGTGAAAAAAATGGAACCATCTTACTTTATTTTGTTTCTATTGTCTTAATTATCAAGAAGATTATCGTTAAAAATTTCTGAACAAATTTTTATTACATCTTGCATTATATCTTTAAAAATTTTAAACTTTACATGTATATATATATTATATAACAAAATACGAACACTTTTTTCTATCTCGTTCATAAAAGATTTTTTTCTCTCGTTTTATATGAATCAATGAACCAAAAATTGAGAAAAAGTTGCCAATAATTCTTAGAACAATTACATTTGTCTCAATCTTGCAATATTTAACCGAGCATTACTATAATAATAATAACAATAACATTTAAAAATTTATTATAATATTATTATAAAAAAATATGTAATATTATTATAAAAAAATGTAATATTATTATAAAAAAACATAATGGGACCACCAATCTTTAATAAAAAGATTGAAAAACACTGATCTAAAATTTCAAAAATAATAATAATAACATTTGAATCGATATCATTATAAATAAATATGATCGATCACGTGGTAAAAAGATTAAAAAACACTGATCTAAAAGTTTAATCGATTAAAATTAAATGAAATGGAGCAAATGCAATAAAAATAATAATAATAATCTTGAGGTAATCTGAATTTTTTTTGCAAGAAAAATGCGTTTCCTCCATCGGTATTGCAGTTAGTGAAGTCACGTCTCCTTCCAATTACAATAGTTACAGATCGTATTGCAAAATCAATGATCGAATAAGCGTGTCGCTTTTTCGGTTCTTGGGGAAACTCGCCGGTTGCTTGTAATTTGTTAAATTTCGCAAGGAACTATACATTAAAAGTCAATTCTGTCTTGCAAAATTTTTGCCCACGAAAAAAGATAAAATATTACCTTTAAAATGATATTATTTGAAGCAACATATTATTCATGGTCATATTATCTCATAGTTATTTAAAATAATAACTTATAATAGTTATTTAAAATAATTATATAAAATAATGATATGAAAAATATTATTCAATTTATCATTTCATAAGTAGAAACAAAAACAATATTAAAAGTTTAAAAAATATAAATGAAGTATTAAATTATTTTCTTAAAATTATAAGAAAAAACTAAATATATAAAAAATTTGAAAAATTAAATATATTAGATTTGTGTGTATTAAATTTTTCAGAATTTGAAGTTAATAAAGTAATAATATTTATAAAGTATAAATATAAATAATATAATATAAATTTAACTAATATTATACACTTCTTGTCATATATAAAAATTCTGAAATTGTAATATTTTTGGAATATTATCAAATTAAATTTTTATTCAAATAAATATTCAAACGAAATTTTTATTTTACTCTTTTTTTTGTTATTTTATTATATATATTTTATACATTATTACGTAAATAATAATTATTAATATTAATCGAATAATAATTTATATTAATAATAATTTATATAATTATGTATATTTTTAATTATAGTTTAACGTAAAATATAAAAAATTGTCTTATATCTATTTATATTTATTGTTTTCTAAAAAAACAATAAATAAATATTTGATTTACATGATGTAGATAATAAATTATATGACTTGTAAAATATATATTATATGAGATACTTTTAAATTGTATTTATTTATGAAAATATTTCTTTTTTTAATATTTGGTTCAACTTATTTACCCCAAATTATGATATCCATTTTTTCTATATATAAAAAAATTTATTATCATTTATTCTTTATTTATTATTCAAGATAATCAATAATTTAAGTAATCATATTAAAATATTCTTATTTTTCGAATAAGATTTAATCAAATTCATATTTATTCACATATATTTTTCAATTTCAAATAAATATATTTCACTTTTATTTTGTATTTCAAACAAAAGATATCCAATTTTGCATCGCAGATTTTCTACATAATAATAATATGTAGATAACATAATAATAATAATAATAATATTTTCTAATATAATAATAAAAATAATAATAATAATCATGATATAATCTATAATAAGTTATCTATAACATTTTCATCACTTGATCACTTATTCATATCCTCAACAACATATAATTTTTATTATAGAACAATTTTTTTCCAAATGTAACAAATATATTATACTACGTAGAGCACTCACCATAACAAAATAATTCACTTTATTATCGAAAGATATTATATATTTAAACACTACATATATAAACGCAGAAATTTTTTATTTTTATAAGAGATGTTCATAAGAGATGTTCGTGTTACCACTTTTGCAATCGTAATACGTTCGAAAATTTCAGTGAAAGGATTGACTGGATTTTAACTTTTCGTGACGACGTTGATCTATAGATCCTCAAACCGTTGTCCGTGTTGGACGAGCCGTGAATAGGCGCGAACAACTTTATTTTTTAAAATATAGATAATATCTGGAAAAGTAATAAGGTAACGTGTAAAATAATATGTATCTCATTAATATAACATTAATTACAATCATGTGAATTTTATTTTTAAGTGATTAATTGAACAGTGTGATTGATTGATGATATATCAGGTAATCAAAAAAGTTTTATCATTTTTTTTTTGATAGAAGAGAAAAAGAGAAATATATAAAAAAAATTTATTAAATACTTAAATTATTAAATACTTAAATTAAATAACATTGCATAATTGAACACATAAATAATTGAAATTTAATGATTTAGTGATAATTCATATTTTTAATATCATTATTTATTAATAGCTTGTATAATATAATAGGAAGTTTGTAATAGAAAAAGATAAAGTTGCAAGATTGTATAAATGATACGTAATTAAGTGTAAAATATTAAGATAACTATTTTTGTCTACTAAGGAAAAAATTATAGATATATCAATTTTATAAATATAACTTTGAGAAATTAAATACTTCCTATTTTTAATTTTGGAAATAATATTCAATAAAAAATTTTTAAATGTAATTCCTTATATGTTCCAATTTAAATCTCAATCATCATTTGCAGCTGTTGGTAAAGCAGTATTTTATAAATGTTTATTTTATTATACAAGAAATATGACAAAATTTTCTTAATTCGCAAGATTATTATATCTAATAATTTAATATCTCTTATGTGAATAATCTTGTGATCAATGAAATTATTAATGTTTTTTTATTAATGTCGATTGATTATATGACAAATATTATTACTAACAATTGATAAAAATAAATCAAATCAATAAATTTAATAAAATAAATAATATAAAATAATAATAAAATAAATTCAATAAAATTTACAAATAATAAAATTGTAAATTTGTAAAATTTTTTTCTTTTGATTTACAGATGGCGCAATTTGCAATGGCAGTATATGATGAATACCGCAATCTGATGGACAATGAGAGTGATCCTAGAGTCAACAACTGGTTCATGATGAATAGTCCATTCCCAACCTTATTTATTTGCTTATTTTATGCCTACTTCGTCAAAGTTTTGGGCCCTAAACTCATGGAAAATCGTAAACCTTTCGATCTTAGAAAAATTTTGCTATTTTATAATTTCTTTCAAGTGATATTCTCCGCATGGCTGTTTTATGAGGTATGAAAATTCATTAAAAAAATCTTTAAATATATAATAAACATTGAACAAACAAAAATTTTATATGCAAAGATCAAAAAAAGAAAAATTTATAAATGTTATCTTGCAAATATTTAAAATAAAACTAACAAAAGCAAAACAGTATTGTAGTTCGTTATGGACAAGTTCGTTGTGACATAATCGTTTTATTTCACTTTGCATATTTCGTGTCTTGAATTTTACTTTATTTCATTTGCATTATTTTATTCTGTATATTTCATTTTATTTAAATTTTTTTTTCTTTTATATCATTTTTTCAATCTTTACATTATTTTTTTTATGATTTTTATTTTTACTATCTACTATTTTTTATGACTTTTATATTTACTATCAAAAGATTTTAATTATTAAATAAATAAATTTTAGTTATTATTATTATTAATAGTATTATTATTATTATTATTATTATTATTTCGAATTGTTAATAAATTTGAGCATAATAAAAATTTAATTTTTAGATATAAAAATTAAATTTTTATTATGCTCAAATTTTTCGATTTTTATCTAATCAAATCATTATAATTTTCAAGTTTTCAATCATAAGTTTTAAATGTAAAATAATTGTAAAAAAAATAATTTGTGTTAAAATAAATTTATATTTTGATTTCTGAAAATCTTTATGAATTTTTTGAAAAAAATTTTCTGTAAATATTATAAAAGTGACTAATTAATAATATATGTTTATTGACAAAGACAATTATTTTAGAAAAAAAAATAGACAAAAAATGTAGAGATAATAAGGATAATAATAATAATAAAAGAAATATAATGGAAAATTTTAATAAATCAAAAATTTGATTTTAATCATATCAACCTAATAATAAATTTTATTGTTTATTCAATAATTATTTTATTATCCATCAAGTTTTGATACTAATAAGTTTAACACGTGAATTTTGATGGT